ATATATATATATATATATATATATATATATATATATATATATATATATATATATATATATATATATATATATATATATATATATATATAAAGTGGTATCTGTCACAGCGTACATATCTACTCGTATATGTTTATGTAGTGGCATTCCTTGCAACGTACATACCTACCACAGTCCTTTGCACCTTGATGTACCTGGTGATGCCAATCGTGCTGCTTCTCTCTGTTATTCTGCATCTTAGCAGCACATTAATCTTGTACCTCGTTCGTCTCGGAATATAAGCCTGCTCACCCTATGTGTTATATACTATACACACACTCTGGCCACTGAATCTGATTCTGCACTGAGATCAGACTTACATCTGCCACTCTGAGAACTTGCCCATCATATGTATTCACCACAGAATAAACGTTTTATGATCAAGTTTTCTTCCCCGAATTAAATCATTACGTTCATTTTTTTTGCAGGATATACCGCCGATAGACCCATCGGAACTGCTAGCGCCATCCCAAAACGGACAGAAGAACGTTTTGAGGCACTTCTCATTGCGCGTCTACAAAGCCACAGCGGGTGACTGTGCGGAGGACTTATAGCATGAACGCATTGTATTTCGTAAATGCCTTTTAGATGAACTGGAAATTAACACCACACTTCGTATCCAGCCAGACATACCGGAAGTGTTGTGTATAGCTTATTACACCAAGCTAACCTCGTAGGGGGGGGGGGTAAGCACTGGCTGAGAACACAAACGGATATATTCTCGGCACAGACACTCCACTGGCACTTCAACAATGCATCTTCAGTAGGCACGCAGATCAACCAACCAACCAACCAACCAATCAAGAACCACACACTTGCAAACATACAGCTGGGGGTAGTCTCAGCACACAGCCAACATGTTTACCGCGTAGGGGGTGGCAGGTGTATGTGGCTGTGTTCTAACGCACCCCATGTCGAAGTCACGGGTCCAATAGAGTAGTATGTACATTTCTGTAGATTTGTATGTATATTAATAAAGATTAGTAAATACATCGATAGTATACACATATATATGGAGCAATTTTCATTTCCAGAGATTGGTATACATATATCTATGCTTTTATACAGATCAATTTAAATCTCTATAGATTTAAATGTATATTTATTCAGATGAGTGAAAAAAAAATAGTACACCTATTTATACAGATTATAGATATGTATGTATATTACTATACAATAGTAGATACATTTATATCATGTATGCACATTTATACATGAAAATGTACAATCGTATGTATCCATAGTGGTGCTCCGCCACAGCCAGACTGGCGTTGGCCAGTTGCACAGGCATTTGCCCTTGTTGATTTGTTAGCACTGCTGCGGCTATTCTCGGAAGTGCTGATATTGAAGGTGCTGAGTGGTGGTATGATAGGCCGGCATCCGCTGTTGACCAATTTGTACTACTGCGGATAATTTCGGGAAGCATATTTCCTTATACGTGGGGATAATAAAGGTGCTGAGTGGTGGTATGATAGGCCGGCATCAGCTGCGGTTAATCTCGGGAACCATATACCCATATACGTGGTGATGCAAAGGTACTTAGTGGTGGTATGATAGGCCCGTATCAGCTGTTGATTAATTAGCACTACTGCGGTTAATCTTGGGAACCGTATACCCATATACGTGGTGATGCAAAGGTACTTAGTGGTGGTATGATAGGCCGGTATCAGCTGTTGATTAATTAGCACTACTGCAGATAATCTCGGGAACCATATTCCCATATACGTGGGGATAATAAAGGTGCTGAGTGGTGGTATGATAGGCCGGCATCAGCTGCGGTTAATCTCGGAAACCAGATACCCATATACGTGGTGATGTTATAGGTGTTGAGTGGTGGTATGATAGGCCGACATCAGCTGCGGATTAATCAACCCCGCAGGGGTTATTATGGTTATGCGAGGCGTGTATGAGACATGATTTTCATAAAATGGAAATATCTATACTGTGGGGTGGAAATTTAATTAGTATTTTAAAACAAAACAGAGTGTGTCAATGTAATCACGGTTGGTCGGATTTAATCAGGGTTGATCTTTGGAAATATACTGCCTGTTTTGACGCCATATTTGTATTGGGTTCAAATGTTCGGCAATACACATACTCATGTTTTGTTTTGGTTGTGTTTACAACCCAAGTTGTACTTCTTACCGGTATAAGGTGGCTATAGATAACGGGGCAATATATTCGAGGCTCTGTGCAAGTTGTAAATTAGGCCAATACTAGAAAGCATTGCACGGTATATCCGAAATTTGTGTTGTTTTCGAGTAATATTCTATTTGCTCTCGACATTTGATTGTACGTAGGGTTGTCAAGTATAGCCTGTTTAACCAATTCTGTAAAACTATTTTACTATCACCATCAAATGCGAAGCTTTAATTGGCTGTGAGACACGTGAAACTTGCTGTAAAAAAACTTGTGGTTGTACAAGGAAAAAACAACAGATACACATAAATACACACAGATTAGCATCTTATCCTACAGAATATCTAGCATAAAGTAGTACAAAGACTAAGCAATGACTCCTGCTGCAGACAGGCTTGTTACATACACAAATAACTATGTTGATTTCCTCATGTATTGGCGTTCCATGACTGGGATCAATATATTGATCTTATGGCGATACCGACTGATATCACAACACAAATCACAGCTCGTATATATATATATATATATATATATA